TGCAGAAACACTTATTTTAAGCGGGGGGGGGGATTTAAAGGGGCTGAGCAACAGTACTGGGGAACTTTCTCTAACCATTTTTACATAAGGTGTTGCATAAGGGAGAATTCCGCCCGAAGCGATCCAAGTTGCTAACGCTGAGGAAGAGCAATGCAACTTACTATTCCATAAGAGACGAAAGAAAGCATGGAATCTGCCAGGAACAGCAGAAAAAAAAAACTGCTTTAATTACACTTACTCCTTTCCAGGCTGTCCCCCCCAGCTCCCCAACCATCACCCCCGATGCTCCCAGCCTACTCCTGCTCGAAATCTGACTTGTCTTTTTACCGTTTCGCTGCTCACAAGTTTTCAGACCCGAGGAAGAAGCGGAGGTGGCGGCTGGATCCTCTCCCTTGACTTTCTTGCAGGACCGCTGCACCTGCGAGACCCCTTTACGCTTCCCGACCATCCCGGCCGCTACTCCGCGACAGAAAACACCCCGCCCCGCCGCCCCGAAGGAGAGAACAGCAATTAAGGAGGTAGAAACCGGGCGGCCTCCCGAAGATGCCAAAGAAGAGCGAAGCGTCTCTTTCGGGCTTAGTGCAGGGCGGCCGCGTCTCCTTATTCCCCGCTTCTCGCAGGAGGCAAGCAAGACAGAGAGCCACGCCGGGAGGCTCCCGGCTTGCCGTGGCGCCTCCTCCCTTGACGTCCCTTCCGTGCCGGCGGCTCCGGGGAAGCTGCGCCGGTTTGTGAATCGGTGTATTACTCCGGATCCAGCTGACTGGCTGCGCTTCGCGTAGAATAGAGTAGGGTTCTTTACTGGCTAAGTATGATTGGACACACAAGGAATTTGTCTTTGGTTCATATGCTCTCAGTGTACATAAAAAGACAAGATACATTCATCAAGAATCATAAGGTGCAACCCTTAATGATAGTCATAGGGTACAAATATGCAATCAAATCATATTAGGAAACAATAAAAATCGTAAGGACAGAAGCAACAAAGCTACAGTCCTGCAGTCATAAGTGGGAGGAGATGGGTGATAGGAACGATGAGAAGACTAATAGTAATNTCCATTACATGGCACTAGGGATTCGAACTGCTGAACTGCTGACCTTTCTGATCGACAAGGTCAGTGTTTTAGTCACTAAAAACCTTTCTTCCAGATGTTGCAGAGTAACTAATTCAATAAGTAAATTATAGAGAACTATATTGTGGGATGCGAAATGAAGAATGTGTTACCTTCCACATCTTCCCATTCTTCCTCACTTTCCTCATCCTCTTCTTCTTCTTTCTTTGTAATAATCAATTCTTTTTTTGCATTTGTTTTTTTCTTTAAAGGAGTTCTCTGCAAACCACTATTGAATTCAAAAAGAAATATACTATGATTTTTGTCTTGTCTCGTGTACTCTCCTTTGCTTTCCCTGATATGATTCACATTTTAGACAACATAACAAAGTGCATGTAACCAAAGCAAAAAATAAAAACCTCTAGATTCCTTATAGTGATTGCAAAATGGAAAAAGGTACGAAATTCAGATGAGATAGCTAATGCTTCAGGAGACATAAACTGACCTCCAAAGAATCTTCACAGATTAAGTGGGAAGAAAACCGCATGAAATTTAATAGTTACAAATGCAGTATTCTACACTTAGGAAAAACAAACCTAATTCACAGGCATAAGATTAGGAGATGTCTGCTTTGATAACATTTAGTGTGAAAAACCACTGCAGTTTCAACTTTGGCAAATAAAAGTTCCAATACAGGTAGTCCTCAACTTACAACAGTTCATTTAAAGACCACTCGAACTTACAAGAGCTCTGAAAAAAGTTACTTATGACCATTTTTCAGATATGACTGTAGCAGCATCCCTGTGGTCACATGATTTACATTCAGATGCTTGAGAACTGATTCATATTTATGATAGTTGCAGTGTCTCAGTGTCATGTGATCACCTTCTGCAAATGTCTGACAAGTGAAGTCAATGGAGCAGCCAGATTCACTTAACAAAGCTGTTACTAATTTAACAACTGCAGTGACTCACTTAACAAATGTGTCAAGAAAAGTCGTAAACTGGGACAAAACTCACTTCACAAACTTCTCACTTAACAACATACATTTTGGGCTCAATTGTGGTGGTTGAGGACTACCTGTATATTTTGCATATGTCAGAATCTGCTTTGAAGTACTCTGTTCAGTTCTGGATACATTTTAAGGGATTATTCTATTTTTTAGGGAAATTAGAATGGGAGAAAAGATGATAAGGTGATAAGAAATTATGTCTTATGAGGAGCAACTGAAGGGACTAGGTACATTAGTCCTGAAAAATGGCAACTGAGGGGGGATGTAATGGCACTTTCCAAGTATTTGAAGAGATGCCATACCTCTTCAGAATATCAAGTGCTGTTTTATTATCTATCTTTCTAGCGGTCTATAATTCCAGAAAAAAATGAGATCCTGGTTACTTTTTAGGCAACTTTTATGCCAAAAAAACAGTAAAAGCAGTTTAACAACAACAAAAACACACTGCTGGGGTCCTGTTTTCTATATTCAAGGAGAAACTAAAATTTATTCTGGATTCCCACACTAAGTAGATGGTTGCACTAGGTATCCTTAATGGACTTTCAATTGACTCTTTCAATAGGGGACTGAAGGCTAAAACATGAAAAACAGTCGCAGGAACTGGGTATGTCTAGTTTAAGGAAAAGAAGGACTAGGGGAGAGATAATAGCAGAGTTCCAGTATCTCAGGGGTTGCCACAAAGAAGAGGGAGTCAAACTATTCTCCAAAGCACCTGAGGGTAGGAC